TACTCGGTGGATAAGTACGAGACTGCAACCCCACCTCTGATCCCTTACCTTTGACTCATGTGGCAGTTTTTGCATGATGGCAAGATGAAAAATGTCGCCCAATGATTATCCACAAAATTAGCCGAGTTTGAAACAAATTCTTTCCCTTTGGCAAAAATAAGATCATTATGTAAGTGTCAAGCTCTCCAGAATATGAACAAGCTCACGAACAGTAGTGGTTAATTGGTCCAACAAGATAAGCATCCAATCGGGTCCTGAGCACTTAAACACTTCTTCTCTGGGAATATTCCACACTCCCCTCAACTCTATGTGCAGAGCACTCACCTTAGGATATGTCACCAAAGCATGAAACATACTTTCATCCTCCATACCACAAATAGAGCATAATTCTGAAGTAGCCTGATGGTGCTTAACTCTATTAACCTGTGCCACTAGGTTATTAGAAGCCGCCCGCCACACAAAAGTTCTGATCTTTTGGGGGACATTGGCTTTCCAAATGACATTCCAAAGTTTTCTATCCCCATTCGTGTCTCCACTAGATTGCACTTGCTCCTCCTTCCCCTCCTTGAGACTAAGTGCCGGATTATATGCACTTTTTACTGTGAACAAACCACTCTTCTCATACTGCCAAGCAATAAAATCATCCTCATCCGAGGACTGGTTCTTTGAAATGTCACGTTCTTACAACGATATCAATGTGCTTCAGCGATCTCTGTGTCCAGGAGACATTGTAAGGGAGAATCGCCGCCATGCAACTACACTATCAACGCCGCGACTACAAACATGGGGGTACCGTCTTATCGATTGCATGTATCCTCAGAGAGTGGCATTTGTGAAAACCATATCCGAACTCAAGGCAACAAACAAAGTTACTTTACAAAAAATGCAAGAGGCAGTTAGGAAGGATGTGAAGAGGGCATTCGGAGTGTTCCAAACTCGTTGGAAAATTATTTCATGGAGCTACAATGATACGACATTTCACGTGTATGATGCACATGCATGGATTTGCATTAATTTGTGAGTTTGAATTTGAGAATTTTGTTTTGAGGGTTGTTTGAATTTGAGATGTGTGGTTGTGTCCACGACCGGGGCCGGGTTTTGACAAAACCCGCTGTAGATGCCGTGAGAGGGTTAGTCGTCGAGAAGAAATAATTTAGCTGCCTTGCGATGCCAGCCTGCCCGCCGGCCCCACACTCGAGACTCGAGAGTGTGAATGAAACCAAAAAGACCCATTTGCCCCCCAAGGCAATAATCAAACCCGAGCTCCCCCAGCTCGCCTCTCCATTCACACTCGAACCCTCGACCTCTCCACCCAGCTCAGCCTCGCCGTCGCCAGGGAGCGGGGCAGCCTGCTCCACCACTCCGGCCGGCGACCGCGCGGCATCCTGCAGCGAGGTGCTTCCCTTCGCCCCGCCCCCTCTGCATTCTTCTCCCGCCCCCTCCCTGCTCGCCGCGCCCACCCGCTCCCCCTCTTTTCGCTGCAGGAGCAGCACGCCCCCATCCAGCCCGGCGACCGGCTGAGACCCAGGGCGGCGGCTGCCAGCGAGGTCATCCCCGCACCGTCTCGCCGCTCGTCGCATCCGCTTGCCAGATCGTAGGTTTTGGCCCCCGATTTTGCGTCGTACGAGCGAACCCTAGGTTTTGTTCGCGAGACGAGATAGGGCTGCTTTCGAGGGGGGATTTGGGAGGGGAGAGGCGCGACGGACCACATTATGTGCGGACTAATCGATTTTTGCTGGCATCGGTCGAGCCATTACCCCAGGGCGCGCCGTGCACGTGCAAGTGCAAACAGCGAAAGCTCGCCGCCTCCTGTCTATCTATCTATGCTGTGTGCTGGAGCAACGGAAAGAAGGGCCAAAGTTGCCTTTTCCTTGGCCGGGTAAAAAGGATTAATCGATTTTTTTTGAGTGAAGGGGTTAATTGATTTTGTTATGTGAAGAACGAGGAATTTGACAAAGTGACACGCCTTTGTCTGACATGTGGGGGCCTGGGGCCACCTGTACATGCGTCATTTGTGTCAAATTGCAAATAAATGTGCGGCATCTTGTTGATTTTTCGTTGAAAACACATCCCTCAGGGCAAATCATGAGAAGCACATTCAGCTTCCATGCATTTTATCAAGAGACTGCTGGACGAGGGCATATACTCAAATCCAGCGAACTTCAGAGTGCAAAAGTCTGCACCTGATTTATTTGACGAGTTTTGTTCCTGCACCCCCCTTTAATTCACTGAGCAAGTGCTTTTTAGGGATATAATGATACTGAATAACTGCTTAAGCTTCGGTGAGAGACTGAGAGTAAGGCCACATCCCATTTGAGATCTCCAGATCCAGTCTGATGCTCTGGTTCGCTAATTGCATAATTGCACATGTCACACGGCAGTGATGGTGTGCATCATACTACACCGTTTTAGTGCTGTTTGCGTTGGCGATGCAACATATTTCTGAGATAACCGATTCAGATGCAGTTTTGTTTTACATTGTCGTCTGAGAGAACTGATTTGAAACGTCTCTGTATCGTACCAGTCTTTCATAATACCTCCATTCCTTGCCCAGCATCTTACTAGTCTTCATAACACCGCCATCTGGCCACATATTCAAAACCTACACCAACATTCTGGTAAAAAATTAAGGCCACTTGCTCTCTATATTTTGGTGGCTATAGCATCGTCAAAACTGATGTTGGTATATCGTATATTCAACCATACCACGGAATGAGCTGTAGCCTTGTTTGAGTAAGATGATTTCAGGTGTTAGGTGCCAGGTGGGCAGTTGCTGGAGCCAAACACTTAGTCAGGCTACACGACTGCTTTTTATAACAGTGAATTTAAGTTGATCTTTTGGTCGAATAGCTTTCTGTCAAGCTAACAAGCAGTAAGAGTGGGCAATATCAATACTAATATTTCTTGTTTAATGCTGTTGCAGGTCTGAATTGGTCATTATGGTGAGGAAAAGTGCAGAGAAAAGTTATGGTCGTATGGCTGCATGCACATCAAGTCCTGAACCCTCAGAAAATAACCCAAGGCAGAATTTCCGTTTAGGAGATATAACATGGGTTAAGCATGATGGCTCCTCATGGTGGCCAGCCCAGGTATGATGCATACACCTTCTGAGCACTTCATACTTCAATTAGCTAAATACCTTTGCTTTGCTACGGATCAGCAATTTAGATTACCCCAACATGTTGAACCATTTTTTTGCTGCACTCAATGCCAGTATGGTTCTAAAATAATTCTAGATGCCAGTGAATATGCTTGTTGCATTGCACATCAGCTTAAATTGAACGCTGGCAGATGGTTGCATCTGTAGTAGATCAATTATATAGATCATGTATGAGTAAGATAGTTTGGTCAAGTCTCAAGTGCCAATGCCACAACCTTTGTACTTGTATGTTGCAAAGACAAAACATTTCAGACTTTCCCCAACTGTTATGTTCTTCATCCTAGCTTCCCATGCACATATTTAGACCACTTCTGTTTCTGAATTCAAGGTCATTGATGAAGCATGTGCCAGTAGCAAGGCCAAGAAGAAGACCAGCCATGACGCTCTGGTTCGACTGTATGGCACATGCCTAGAGTAAGGGTCCTAATAACATGTGAAGCCTTTCTTTTCTTTCTAGTGGCGATCAACTGATAATCTTTACAATAAAGGTAATTGTCTTCACTATTTTATTTTCAGCTTGTATGTTGACCCTTGGAAGTCTAACATGGAATTCGAAATGGTATGCACATCTTCTATCCTACAGCTCATGAGGATGCTAATATGGAGTAGTGGTAACTGACTGAACTGTATTAAAGAAGCTTAAATCAGCTGAAACACGAAAATAACCAACAACTTCAATCATTATTGCAATTTTGGTTTCCCTAGGTTTTTAACTGCAGGAAGCTGATATAACCAAAAGGCTGAACTGACGGACATATATTCACACACACTTGATAAATTATATAATATTGCATATGTTGATAATGAAATTCTAACAATTGTTCTGAATTGTAATATGCTTTGTTCTAACTAACAGAATGTACCAATAGCACGACTCACACATATATGTTTTAGGATTGTACAGGTAAAGCATGTATTTTATTTTATCATTGTTGCCTATACCTGGATAGGAGTGCAGACAACATAGAGAAGTACAAGATGGCGAAGAAGGCCGCAAAGCGAGCTGTTGGTGAAGCAAGGGGTCGGGCATATGAGGACCTCTACCAACGGTTAGGCACGAAGGAAGGTGAAAGGGACATCTATAAGATGGCCAAGATCCGAGAGAGGAAGACGAGGGACATTGGCCAAGTCAAATGCATCAAGGACGGAGCAGGCCAACTCTTGGTGAAGGACGAGGAGATTAAGCATAGATGGCGGGAGTACTTCGACAAGCTGTTCAATGGGGAGAATGAGAGTTCTACCATTGAACTAGACGACTCCTTTGATGAGACCAGCATGCGTTTTGTGCGGCGAATCCAAGAGTCTGAGGTGAAGGAGGCTTTAAAAAGGATGAAAGGAGGCAAGGCGATGGGCCCGGATTGTATCCCCATTGAGGTGTGGAAAGGTCTCGGGGACATAGCAATAGTATGGCTAACCAAGCTTTTCAACCTCATTTTTCGGGCAAACAAGATGCCAGAAGAATGGAGACGGAGTATATTAGTACCAATCTTCAAGAACAAGGGGGATGTTCAGAGTTGTACTAATTACCGTGGAATTAAGCTGATGAGCCATACAATGAAGCTATGGGAGAGAGTCATTGAGCACCGCTTAAGAAGAATGACAAGCGTGACCAAAAATCAGTTTGGTTTCATGCCTGGGAGGTTGACCATGGAAGCCATTTTCTTGGTACGACAACTTATGGAGAGATATAGGGAGCAAAAGAAGGACTTGCATATGGTGTTCATTGACTTGGAGAAGGCCTATGATAAGATACCGCGGAATGTCATGTGGTGGGCCTTGGAGAAACACAAAGTCCCAGCAAAGTACATTACCCTCATCAAGGACATGTACGATAATGTTGTGACAAGTGTTCGAACAAGTGATGTCGACACCGATGACTTCCCGATTAAGATAGGACTGCATCAGGGGTCAGCTTTGAGCCCTTATCTTTTTGCATTGGTGATGGATGAGGTCACAAGGGATATACAAGGAGATATCCCATGGTGTATGCTCTTTGCGGATGATGTGGTGCTAGTTGACGATAGTCGGACGGGGGTAAATAGGAAGTTAGAGTTATGGAGACAAACCTTGGAATCGAAAGGGTTTAGGCTTAGTAGAACTAAAACCGAGTACATGATGTGCGGTTTCAGTACTACTAGGTGTGAGGAGGAGGAGGTTAGCCTTGATGGCCAGGTGGTACCTCGGAAGTACACCTTTCGGTATTTGGGGTCAATGTTGCAGGAGGATGGGGGTATTGATGAAGATGTGAACCATCGAATCAAAGCCGGATGGATGAAGTGGCGCCAAGCTTCTGGCATTCTCTGTGACAAGCGAGTGCCACAAAAGCTAAAAGGCAAATTCTACAGGACGGCGGTTCGACCCGCAATATTGTATGGCGCGGAGTGTTGGCCGACTAAAAGGCGACATGTTCAACAGTTAGGTGTGGCGGAGATGCGTATGTTGAGATGGATGTGTGGCCACACGAGGAAGGATCGAGTCCGGAATGATGATATATGAGATAGAGTTGGGGTAGCACCAATTGAGGAGAAGCTTGTCCAACATCGTCTGAGATGGTTTGGTCATATTCAGCGCAGGCCTCCAGAAGCTCCAGTGCATAGCGGACAGCTAAAGCGTGCGGAGAATGTCAAGAGAGGGCGGGGTAGACCGAATTTGACATGGGAGGAGTCCGTTAAGAGAGACCTGAAGGATTGGAGTATCACCAAAGAGCTAGCTATGGACAGGGGTGCGTGGAAGCTTGCTATCCATGTGCCAGAGCCATGAGTTGGTTGCGAGATCTTATGGGTTTCACCTCTAGCCTACCCCAACTTGTTTGGGACTAAAGGCTTTGTTGTTGTTGTTGTTGCATAACTAATAAACTAATAGCTGATTGAATGAATATTTTTCTAGTTAATAATTGCCCTATTTGTTTTTTTCTACCTAAACCGGTCATATCAATCGAATCCTCACCCAGCGTCACTACTTATGTGCTGCTTGTAGAGTTGTAGTAATTTTATGGTAAATGATTCTGGTGTATAAACTATAAACTGCTTTTTGTTATTTAACTTCCAAGAAAATTAGTTGTTTTTGTCTTCTCACGCATGAATGATATCCAACCCTGACCATTTTGAATTTTAAATATTTCTCATATGAGCTCATTGTATGCAGTTTCTGAAGAAAGAAAATAAGACAGCCATGGAAGCATTCCATGAGGTGCTTCAGAAGGTAGGGCAATCTCGCCTTCGCTTTGAACATATTATGAATCACAGTTTGGTGGAGGTTGTTGAGATCCATGTTTAATCTTACAAATGCAGGAGCTCTCTCATTTTAAGTCGGCCAGTGATGACGAGGAGGAAGCTGTCAACACAAAAGGTGAATTTCTGTTTTTTCTTGGCTGGAGAATATATGCAGAAAAACACGTTATGTGAATTGATCATGGTGGTCCTTGTGGTTTGACCATTCATGTTATCCCTTTTTCATTAGTGATTTATGTTAACAGTGATATGTTACCGTTTGTGAATCTTTTCACAATGGTGTGATTAGGTAACATGTTCTAGGAGCAGTATCAGTGACAGTATTGCTAAATTATCACCTGTGCGGTTTTATTTCCCTGTCAAGTTTCAAATCGCCTTGCTATCAATGGTACACACATATATATTTTTAATTGCTACGCATCTAATTCTCTATTTTTCATATGGTCTGACCATATTGGCCACAGCCAAGACGTCTACTAAGAAAGTCAGAAAGCAAGAAGCCTTAGAGCAGGACCAAGAAGTTCGGAGCAATGCAAAAGGTGGAGGTGCTGCTCAGAAAGGAAAAAAGCAGAAAGGTGTGAGGCAAGCAAGTGCTCTTGACAAAGCTTTGAGTATAGATTCTGCTGAAGGTTTAAGAGATAAGACACCCAAGCAAGCTTCTGCTGTGCGAGATAAAAAGAGTGGTAAGAAGGCATCATCAGGAACATCGGTGGCCAAAAAGGAAGGATCCTCAAAGCGGTCGGGCCGTACCAATCTGAAGGAATATTCAGATGCGGCGGAGGACAGCACATCACAGCTCCATGTTTCAAGCGCAAGTGAAAATGCAGCTGAAGCAGGAGACATGACATCCGTGAATCGAAGCCAGCACAAAACTGGTTTGACGGTCGAAGGAACCCACCGGAAGATAAAAGCTATGGTCAGGGATATACTGCTGGGGGACGTCATAGACAGGCAGCTTGCTGCTGAAATGGCATATGTGGATGAAGTGATCTTTGGAATCTGTGAAGCTACTGAGGCAAAGGCGACTGCTGCTACTACTACTGAGACAGAGGGTGGACTAAGCACCAAGCGGGCCGCTAGTGGGCTGGAGGCTGACTCAAGCCGTGCTGCGAAGAAGAAACCTAGAAAGGGCAAGGCGGCAAAGCCGGAGACCAAGGACCCCAACTCTTCTCCTGTAAGTAGACACTCCATTCTTCTGAATCGATTGTCTGAATGAATTTCGGACACTGATTTGACCAAACTCCACCAGAGCAGGGGCGCGGGGGGATCGGAGCAGCGTAGCGCGCGCCAGATCAAGATCATGCAGAGCCTGGGCCTGATCGCGCCGTTGGGATCTCCGTTCGACGTGAAGGGTTCTGCTGCAGTCGCCCGTTGATGATATTTTGTAAGCACACCATTGGTTCTGTATGGAAACCTGTAGTTATGTTGCCTACCTGATCTACCTACTAGTTTACTAGTGCCAATTTCTGTTCTTGTTTACGGAAGATTTGGCCCGGACATAGCTGCTGCGCACGTAAGCGCACAGTTAGTTCTATCTGTATCAGCGCAAAGACGAGCCGCAGTCGCTCAGCGCTGTACCGAATTGATTATTAAGATATTAAGTCGCGACTTGGATTATTTCCGCTTGGTGGTAGGATCTGCTGTGATCGATGCGGTGGCATGAGTGACCCAATGCTCAGGTTATCTTGAGTTAGCACATTGTATGAGCTGTGGACATTTCAATGCCATGTCGATTTTACATCTGATTCGTGACTATAATGTGCTAATTTTACACGAGTACTCCCTCTATCAAAATACAAGAGTTTTTTTTTTACACTATGACAGTGTCAAAAAAGGTCCGATATTTTGATAGCTCTGGCCTTTTAAGATGGCATTTCTGCAGTTCCTTTCTCCATTTCTTCAACTCTGGATTTAACGATGGAAGAACCAGCCTATTTGGGCAGCGTATGCACAGACCTGTGTCGCCTGGTTAATCGTCCTTTGCTTTGTCTGAACAAAGATATTAACATACAAGGATGTTTGGCTGAGAAAACAACAAAGGGGTGGTGGCGCAGTTGGCTAGCGCGTAGGTCTCATAGCTAAGACTTGAGTGATCCTGAGGTCGAGAGTTCGAGCCTCTCTCACCCCAACTTAAAATGACCATGTGATGATGAAAACGCTCTGTGACAACTTGGGTCGTCACACATCTACACCTGAATCATCAGGTGAAATTGAGCAAACTTGAACCTGGTCATCTTTTTCTTTTTTGCTGGTTTCACAAACCTGTGACAACTCTCACATACTCCCTCCGGTCCTTTTTAATTTGCATATAAGATTTGTCTGAAGTCATGCCTCGTAAACTTTGACCATGTGATGATGAAAACGCTCTGTGACAACTTGGGTCGTCACACATCTACACCTGAATCATCAGGTGAAATTGAGCAAACCTGAACCTGGTCATCTTTTTCTTTTTTGCTGGTTTCACAAACCTGTGACAACTCTCACATACTCCCTTCGGTCCTTTTTAATTTGCATATAAGTTTTGTCTGAAGTCATGCCTCGTAAACTGAATCATCAGGTGAAATTGAGCAAACCTGAACCTGGTCATCTTTTTCTTTTTGCTGGTTTCACAAACCTGTGACAACT